TTTCCTCTGCATATTATCGGCTTTGTATCGAAACAGTATATATAGAACCCCACCAAGTGAGATAAATCGGTCTGAAGAGTTTGATACGGACGAAGCTATAGTCACTGCTAAAAGGGATAACTGGCCAAATTGCCCATTTTATCTACCAACAATTTTTTCGAAACAATATATCAAAGTAATTTCTGAATACTGCTTACGAACAGGATGAATAACTTATATTGAGAATGCCTTTAATGTAACATGTAAACTCAAACTTCTAAAAAAAACACCTGTCTTAATACAGTTGAAGTGTGATACAAATAATAATTAGGAAATGAAAACACATCTTAAACAAAATGAATACTGATTTATTAAATGTAAGCTTAAGAAAATTATACAAGATAAGTATATAATAACATGTAATTAATATTTATAAAATTGAAAATAACTTTCGGGTAATAATGGAGCAATGGTGGAGTCTGCCAAACTGGGGTTTAATGTCCTACTGTTCTGCTAATGAAGATGCGCATACACCATGCAGTGTACTATTTTGGGAAATTTTGTCAGGACAGTGGTGCACTCTTATATCGAATTCCATCTGCTACAGGATCTTTTACGTGCACGCCAATCTTTACACAGGACCTCGGTTTTTGCACCGCTGACAAGGGGAAACCAGGCCGGAAATCCCAATTAACTTTCTCGGCCAACACCGGAAGTGAACCCGCGACCTCCAGGCTAGCGAGTCAGCATCTTACTTACTTAGTCACTGTGGCTCCTCCTGAATAAACGATAAGTAGTATTGAGTTTAAGACTTTGCAAACACAATCAAATGCAAATGTAATTGGCACTATATTTTTTTTAAAACCATGCAGTGAATAAAGAATATAAATATAAATATAAATTTAGTAGAAAGAGTATAATACTAATCACATTATATACAAGTATAATAAACCAGCAGAAGTTTCAGCAGATTAAAAGATTCTTTGCAAAAAATGCCTACAAGGGGAGATAACTTCAGTCCCTATTGTAAAATAGACTGCGCATTCCATAAAATGAACAAGGACCGATCTTGGTCATATATTAATTTAAATTTAACAACTTTCTTCATCTCACTAATGTTAACAACGTAACATTATGATAGTTAGCGCTCTGTTGCTAACTTCTTTTAAACAATTTAGACAGACAGATGAAACGAGTCACAAAATAATACCACATTAAAATGTCTGTCTCTTAAGACCATGGGTCTGATTACACCATATTTTACAATAGGAGCATCAGTGTAGAAATAATCATTTAATTAATTCAATAATTTGTAAAAGCCATTATGATTAGCACCATTTCATATTCAGAAATGTTAATATTTCAAATAATTTTTATCGACATCATGATATAAATGTACACTATAACATGTAAACTACATGTAATTATGAATACACAGGATATTCTGGAGACCATCAAAAGATCTGCTGAGTATTAATTGAATTAAAATGAATTACTATCATATTTTACCAAAACAGTGAATATAAATGAGGAACAGAAGTAGGAAAATTCGTATACACCTATATGAAAGTATGGAGGATAAATTGGGACTTTATTCTTAGATTTTACATACACAAAACATGTAGTTTTTCAACTCAAATCTATTCACCTATACTAACTTGTTACAACTCTTTATAATAAGAGAGTGTATGATGAAACATCTCAACTGAAAGATATCATGGTATTAAAATATGATCACATATTTTTAACTTTAAGAAATATGTGAACAATCTGGCGTGTTGAGACTTACAGAACTGAATATTTAAATCTGGTGATATGGTTCTATTTGCGAAATCCAATAAAAACTATAATTAATATAATATATGTGGGTTTATTAAATGATTAAAATTAAAGCTAAAGCTAGTTGACTTAAACTTATATGTATAAGAGAATATAATAGACAATATAATATAATATAATATCGTATCGTAATATTAATTAAATAATAACATACAAAAGCAAATTAAATTAGCAAAATATATTTATATCATTTCCTTGTCATGTTTTTAAAATCATTATATTTGGTCAAATTTGAAATTGTTCAGGAAGAAAAGAGACTTTGTTTATGGGTCATCTTGGCAATTATTTAAGCTTTTTGAACCATGATTAGATCTCAAATGTTAAAATTCTATAGATTAAACATTTATGCTAGCTTACTATTTCTCTCTGCTAAACATACCAAAGGCATCCTGTGAGTGCCATAGGGGCAAGTAACACAAGGGGGGTTTTGGGGGATCTCCCCAATAAAATTGTGAAAATTTAAGTCAATTACCTGGCATTTGAGGTCATAGCTGACGGCAAATTCTTATGAACGCAAGGATCAGAAATTGGACAGAATCTAGACATCTGCCTGTCAATTCTGCCTGTTTTGTGATAGTATAAGACTGCAGCAGAGTGAAAGAATGATGTCATAATGGAGCAAGCCCCATGCCCTGAAACAATTTTAGATATCGACGCATAATATTTAAAATACTGAGCACTAATTTTTTGGGACTGGGTCTGAGGGTTACTGCAGATTCAAAATGTCATCTCCAAGTTTTCCCATTCAAAACTGCGAATCAACCAATGTGGTTAAGAATAATTCCAAGAGCATCGCTAACGCTGCAATATACGTCCACATTCCAGCTTTGATTGATATGGTACTTTTTAAAATGAAGAGAATGAAATATGAAATGGCCGTAATATGACAAGAGGCAAAGAAGGCTAGGCGTTGGGTTTGTTTTTCCAAATTTACAGACAATAAAAAGTGGGTATTATACTGCTCCAGGAAGTCGGGGCATGTACCAAAATAAATAGTTGCTGTCTTTACGGTATAAGGGATAAATATGCAAAGTTCCAAGACGATCCATTCAGAATTGCAGCCTGTAGATGATAAATACAAAAATCGGATGTGGCTCTGCCCCTGGGGGTTGAATATGGAACAATATAAATAGGCACCACCCTGTTATTGAAATGACAACATCAATAGTTGCCGTCCTTAGGGTATAAGGAATAAGTATACCAAGTTCCAAGATAATCCATTCAGTATTGTGGCCTTCGCCCCTGGGGGTCAGGGCATTCACCAAAATCCATAATTGACGTCCTTAGGTTATAAGGAATACATATGCCAAGTACCAAGTTGATCCATTCAGAATTGCTTCCTGTAAACGATAAACACAAAAATATGGGCGTGGCTCTTCCCCTGGTGGTTGGGACATGCAGTTGTCATGCTTAGGGTATAAGAAATAGGTATGCAAAGTTTCAAAAGGATCTGTTAAGAATTGTGGCCTGTAGGCGAAACACAAGACACACAAACATGGGCGTGGCTCTGTCCCTGGGGGTCGGGCAAGCACCAAAAATAATAGAGGTCAGCCTTAGGGTATAAGGAATAAGTATAAAACAGTTTTCAAGATGACTGATTAAGCATTGCAAGCTGTAAGTGACACAATGACACACAAAAAGAAAATGTGCGTGCCTCTGCCCCTGGGGATTGGGCATTCACCAAAAAATATAGGGATGTTCCTTAGGATAGAAGGAATAAGTATGCTAAGTTTCAAGGTAATATGTTAAGAAATTTGGTCTGTAGATGACAAACAAATAAATACAAGAAATGGGTGTGGCTCTGCCACTGGGGGACGGGCATGCACCAAAAACAATAGGGGTCATCCTTAGGGTATAAGGAATTCATACGCAATTTTTTCAAGACGATTGATTAATAATTGTGGCCTGTAGGCGATACACAGACACACAAAAAGAAAATGGGCGTGGCTCTGCCCCTGGGAGTTGGGCGTGCACCCAAAACGATAGGGCTGTTCCTTAGGGTACAAAGAATAAGTATGTAAAATTTCAAGATGAGTGGTTAAGAAATGCAGCCTGTCGATGCCCAAAAAATACAAAATATTGGCGTGGCTCTGCCACTGGGGGTCGGGCATGCACGAAAAACAGTAGGGATCATCCTTAAGGTATATGGAATAAGTATGTAAAGTTTCAAGACGATAAGGCAAGCATTGCGCCCTGTAGGCAACATACAGACACCCAAAAAGAAAATGGGCGTGGCTCTGCCCCTGGGGGTTGGAGAGAGAGAGAGAAATGGGGTTTAACGTCCACTCGACACAACCTAGGTCATTTCGGGACTAACATATGTTTTTTTGATTTTATTTCAATTATTCGCTTGCGCATAGGGGTCTTTAGCAGTAGGAGGAAACCGAAGGACCCGGAGAAAACCCACGAGGTTGGACAGGCGACCGTACTCCTTGTCACGTACACCGTTGATTCGAAACCACGCCAGTCGACTCAATGACAGACTTTATGATACAGCGCGCGCACGCTAACCATTCAGCCATCCAACCCCCCTCCCTGGGGGTTGGGCATGTACCAAAAACAATAGTGATGATCCTTAGGGTATAAGGAATAAATATGCAAAGTTTGAAGTGGATTCGATAAGAAATGCGACCTGTAGACGACAAACAAAGAAATACAAAAAAAAGGGTGTGGCTCTGCCCATGGGGGTTGGGCAATGGGCATGCACCAAAAAAAATAGGGAACATCCTTAGGGTATAAGGAGTAAGTATGTAAAGTTTCAAGACAATCAGTTAAGAATTGCGTTCTGTAGGCGACACACACACACACACGCGCACTCACCCAGACAGGGGAGACGGCAATATACGTCCACATTATGAATGTGGACGTCCACATTATGAATGTGGACGTATAGTATAATAAAGTACAAAAACCTTCACATGTAATGCAGAATGTCATATTTCTCAAGATAAATAAATATAAAAATATTTCTATAAAAAACCAGCGGCTGCCAGACAGGATAAGTCCACATTTTGCAAGAGATGGATAGAGAACAAGCTAAACAAAAAGTGATTTTTTCGTAAAATCAAGGGCCATAATTCAGGAAGTTATGGTACGATATGCACGCATACATACAAGAACCAAGATCTTTGGGTTATAAAGATATATTTCAAGTTTCATAAAAATCGGATCAACATTGTGACTTCTAGAGGGTCGACAACCTTGATATATTTACAATATTTGCGTACGAGGGGTGGCCATTTTGTCCGGCAGTTTTGGTCCGATTTTCACGAAATTCTAACTTAGCCATCATTAGGGTGTAACGGTGAAATATTCAAATGTTTTTTTCAATCGGATAAAAATTGTGACCTCAAGAGGGACCACAAACTAAAAACACGATTTTTCGTATAATCAAGGGCCATAATTCAGGAAGTTATGATCCGATATGTGCAAATATTGAAAGGAACCAAGATCATTGGGTTATAAACATGCATTTTAAGTTTCATCAAAATCAGATGAAAATTGTGACCTCTAGAGTGTTCAGAAGCTAAAAATGTGATTTTTCTTACAATCAGGGGCCATAATCCATGAAGTTATCGTCCAATATATGCCAATATCGAAAGGAATCGAGATCTTTGAGAGACAGACCTATATTTTAAGTTTCATCGTAATCGGATAAAAATTGTGACCTGTTGAGTGTTCACAAACAAATTGTTGACGGATGGACAAACAGGGGCGACGGCATAATACGTCCACATGAAAATGTGGGTGTATAAAAATGTACAAAAAGCACTTTCAACCAACCTATGATCCACATTTATTAGGCTAAACATTCATGGCTGAGATAAGGAGTGGAAGTGAATAATTTATAATTCTATACAGTACAGATATCTCGGAAATAGAATCACCTTTAAATTCCATAGATACTTTTGATTTGCTTGTAAGACACAAATTTGATTTTTTCATGGAAAAATTGGGAAATATTTTAAGTTTATATTGGTCTGACACTGCCATCTTTATCTCTCTCTCAAACAAACAGTAATAATAAACTGCCAGGTTTTTTTCCCCTAAAAATCAGTCATGGGGTATATCCTGTTTTGGGGAAGAGGTCTTGGATTCATACCAGAATAATGTGTCTATTTCTAATGAAATGCGTATATAATACCTGATGATTTATTGCAAACATAATGAAAGTTACACATTAAAAATCAATTTCTTAAAGAGTCTAGATTGTATACTACTGGTACACTATTAATAACATTAAATTTAACATTTCTAAGACAATACTAAAGTAACATGTAAAAATTATAATACTTTATAAAATAAATTGTGGTTGTTAGACTTCTGATGATGATCCACCAATGGCTCCCCCTGTAGCCCCAGACATTAATTTATCTGTTTCATCATAATGACATTCAGCACTTGTATCAACATTAACATAAGTACTTTCAATATTTCGTTTCTGTGGACCTGTTTTGTGTTCTAGTTTTTGTATCATATTACTAATTTCATTCACAAGATCACTAAAAGCAGGTCGATCTTGTGGATTTGCATTCCAACATTGTCTCATGATCTCAAACCTGAAATAAAGTTAAAGACAGGAATTCTTTTTTTTATTTGTGCAAGTGTAAGATTGAGTCTACAGTAAATATGATAATTTTATTTTATTGTGCTAATGATTTAGTAATTATTAGAAGCAAGCCCAGATCTCTCAGGATATACTTTGATAAAGGTCGGTTTAAGTAAGAAAATCAAACACCGTGTGGAAAAAATAGCCCAATTACCAAGTCTTAAATTTTCAAACCAAAACCATTTGGAAATGATCACTACATTTTCTTAACAGGGCCATACATTTAAGAAATTTTACTGTTCAATTGTATAGGTGTCTTGCAATTTATAAACATGACAATCAGTTGCCACCTTAATTTCTGCAAAAATATAGCTATGATAATCAAGGCACTTCTATAATGTGCAATTTGGGGACTTGTTATAGTCTGGAAGTGGTAGAAGGGTGAAAGAATCCCTGTTACAGTACAAGTAAGTCTAGATCTCAGTGTTACAGTCGGGGAAGAGCAGGTAAAAATCCTGGTAAATAATCTAAATAAATTAATCTCTGTGTAACAAACTTGACAAGACTGTATAAAGTAAAGTGGTTTAATCCAGGACACATTTTGAGCTATAGTTGATGAACGACTGTAGCCAGAAACCTGTTTTGGATTAAAACGTACTTTACTTTATTCAGATTTGTCAAGTTTGTTGCGCAGGGATTAATTTATTACTCTATTTCCAATCTAAATGATATAATACTAATATTATTTTCAGTCTCCCTTCCTTGTGAACTCTTGGTCATGAATTGTGATGAAACTGTCTTTGAATTATCAATAGGTTCATAAATATAACAATAAATGTTACTTACAAAGGATCAGGACAGTATTGGGGTTGAGCCATTCTTCTTCCAGCCTTTAAATAACGTATAACATCCCAGTTATCTACCTCGGGATACGGATTAACTCCCCTTGTCATCAATTCCCATAAAACTACACCAAACGACCACTATAATAAAATACAAAATAGTTCACTTATTGTAATTAAGTATAATCATATTGACATGCCCCTGTGCAGTCTAACTTGAATAATATCGCTTTTTTCTGGTCATTATGTCTAGTATGTTTATCTTTCGAATGCCTTAAATGGGGTGTATTTAAGGCAGTCCTACAGAAAATGAGTAGTCAGTCACACAATCAATTAGGAGTGTGCATGTATTAATTCGAGGCATGGTATGATTTCAATTATATTTTATCAAATTTATAGAAAATAATATATGATTTAATTTTCAAGCATAAACTCTCAAGTACGATATGCCTTTAATAATAATAATATCAATGGAAAAATTGTACTAATTTAATTCTAGTAGCCAAGGTTATAATTAATATTACAACAAGACTGCTAATTCTGAATCTTTATTAAGACAATAAATCCTGTTTGTCATTGATTTGTATTTAATACCAGCGGCTGCCAGGCAGGATACGCCCACATTTTCGAGAGATGGGTAGAGAACAAGCTAAAAAGAAAGTGATTTTTCCTACAATCAAGGGCCATAATTCAGGAAATTACAATTCGATATGCGCAAATATCAAAAGGAACCGAGATCTTTGGGTTATAAACTTACATTTCATGTTTCAACAAAATCGGATAAAAATTGTGACCTCCATTGGATCCACAACATTGATCTATCTTCTATATATATATTTGTGACTGTCGTTTGTCTGTCTGTCTGTCTGTCTGTTCGGGGTTGGCGTCTAAACAAGGTCTGCCCCGAGTCTGAAATTTTGGGTATAGGGGTAGCTCGGACCGGGGAGTAACATAGGTCAGGTGGCGTTACTCTACCACTTCCGGTTTCGGAGTTATGACCCCCGAGCGAAGTCTGTCTGTTCGGGGTTGGCGGCTACATCTGCCCCGAGTCTGAAATTTGGGGTATAGGGGTAGCTCGGACCGGGAGTAACATAGGCCAGGTGGCGTTAGTCTACCACTTCTGGTTTTGGAGTTATGACCCCCAAGCGAAGTCTGTCTGTTCGGGGTTGGCGGCTACACTAGGTCTGCCCCGAGTCTGAAATTTGGGGTATAGGGGTAGCTCAGACCAAGAGTAATATAGGCCAGGTGGCGTTAGTCTACCACTTCCGGTTTCGGAGTTATGACCCCCGAGCGAAGCCGGTCTGTTCGGGGTTGGCGGCTACACTAGGTCTGCCCCGAGTCTGAAATTTGGGGTATAGGGGTAGCTCGGACCGGGGAGTAACATAGGCCAGGTGGCGTCAGTCTACTACTTCCGGTTTCGGAGTTATGACCCCCGAGCGAAGCCCTGTATCCTGCTAGTATACCATATTTTTACGCTATTTGAGAACGAAATTCGAACTCAGCCGTCCTTAGGGTGTATTGGTTATATAATAATACGTTTTTTTTAAATCGGATAAAAATGATGACCTCTATAGGGTCCACAAGCTAAAAACGCGATTTTTCGTACAATCAGGGGCCATAATTCAGGAAGTTACGATCCGATATGCGCGAATATCGAAAGGAACCGAGATCTGTGGGTTATAAACTTACATTTCAAGTTTCAACAAAATCGGATAAAAATTGTGACCTCTATAGAGTCCACAAGCTAAAAATGTGATTTTTCGTACAAATAGGGGCCATAATCCATGAAGTTTTGATCCGATACATGCCAATATCGAAAGCAGCCGAGATCTTTTGGAGATAAACCTATATATCAAGTTTTGTCAAAATCGGATAAGAATTGTGACATGTAGAGTGTCCACAAACAATTGTGGACGGACGAACAGGGGCGACGACAATATACGTCCACATGAAAATGTGGGCGTATAATAAAATTATTTAACTCACCACATCTGATTTAGCACTGTACGTTCCTTTTTCCAAACTTTCCATTGCCATCCATTTTACTGGTAATTTCGTTTTTTTATTGTCTGAACTGTAATAATCTTTTTCATAGATATCTCTCGCTAAACCAAAATCAGCCACCTTTGCTCGGAAATCTTGATCCAACCTTCGTAATGATAAGTTAAATCAAATAAAATAGACTACAAAAAGTTTATAGACAATGTTATAATCTTATACCAAGACAACTAAGAGACCTTCAGAATTTTTGAGACACACGTGATCATACAGTCTATAGGAGAAATCACTCAAAATTATAATACAGGTTAGAGAATTTATCAATCTATTCAAATTGTATATCCACATTATATAGTAGTTCTCCATGTTGCCAATAAAAAATTTACTGAGCCATAGACGATATTTAGAATAGGAATTATGCCAATGGTTAGTACTATAAAAAATATTTTAGTTTAATGTTTATATTTGTTTTGTTTTTTTGTGATACATTCATTGGCTTCTGAAATTAAACCATCGCAAGCACATCACTAAATTCGGCAATGCAACTTTAAATCTATTTTAAAAATGCAAATCCATTGTTTCTAAATTACCAGTGAAATATTATGTTTCCAAGACAAGTCTAAAACCAGCGGTTGCCAAGCAAGATACACCAATATTTTGCAAGAGATGGATAGAGAACAAGCTAAAAAAAAAAAAACCCTGTGATTTTTCTACAATCAGGGACCATAATCCAGGAAGTTATGGTCTGAAATGTGCAAATCTTGAAAGGAAACGAGATCTTTGGGATATAAACATAAGTTTCATCAAAATCGGACAACCAGCGGCTGCCAGGCAGGATACGCCCACATTTTCGAGAGATGGATAGAGAACAAGCTAACAAGAAAGTGATTTTTCCTACAATCAAGGGCCATAATTCAGGAAATTACAATTCGATATGCGAGAATATCGAAAGGAACTGAGATCTTTGTGTTATAAACTTACATTTCAAGTTTCAACAAAATTGGATAAAAACCGCGACCTCTATAGGGTCCACAACCTTGATATACCATATTTTTATGCTATTTGAGAACGAACGGCAGCCATTTTGTCTGTCAATTTGGGCCGATTTTCCCGAAATTTGAACTCAGTTCTCCTTAGGGTGTAACAGTGATATAATAATACGTTTTTTTAAATCAGATAAAATTATGACCTCTAAAAACGCGATTTTTCGTACAATCAGGGGCCATAATTCAGGAAGTTACAGTCCGATATGCGCGAATATCGAAAGGAACCGAGATCTGTGGGTTATAAACTTACATTTCAAGTTTCAACAAAATCGGATAAAAATTGTGACCTCTATGGGGTCCACAACCTTGATATACCATATTTTTACGCTATTTGAGAACGAAGGGCGGCCATTTTGTCTGTCAATTTTAGGCCGATTTTCAAAAAATTCGAACTCAGCAATTCTTAGGGTGTAACAGTGATATAATAATACGTTTTTTTAAATCGGATAAAAATTATGACCTCTACAGGGTCCACAAGCTAAAAACGCAATTTTTCATACAATCCGGGGCCATAATTCAGGAAGTTATGGTCCGATATGCGCGAATATCGAAAGGAACCGAGATCTTTGGGTTATTAACTTACATTTCAAGTTTAAACAAAATCGGATAAAAATTGTGACCTCTATAGGGTCCACAACCTTGATATACCATATTTTTACACTATTTGAGAACGAACGGCGGCCATTTTGTCTGTCAATTTTGGGCCGATTTTTACGAAATTCGAACTCAGTCGTCCTTAGGGTGTAACGGTGATATAATAATATGTTTTTTTAAATTGGATAAAAATTATGACCTCTATAGGGTCCACAAGCTAAAAACGCGATTTTTCGTACAATCAGGGGCCATAATTCAGGAAGTTATGGTCCGATATGCGCGAATATCGAAAGGAACCGAGATCTTTGGGTTATTAACTTACATTTCAAGTTTAAAAAAAATCGGATAAAAATTGTGACCTCTATAGGGTCCACAACCTTGATATACCATATTTTTACGCTATTTGAGAACGAACAGCGGCCATTTTGTCTGTCAATTTTGGGTCGATTTTCACGAAATTTGAACTCAGCCGTCCCTAGGGTGTATCGGTGATATAATAACACGTTTTTTTAAATCGGATAAAAATTATGACCTTTATAGGGTCCACAAGCTAAAAACGTGATTTTTCATACAATCAGGGGCCATAATTCAGGAAGTTACAGTCCGATATGCGCGAATATAGAGAGGAACCGAGATCTTTGGGTTATAAACTTACATTTCAAGTTTCAACAAAATCGGATAAAAATTGTGACCTCTATAGGGTCCACAAGAAAATAACGTGATTTTTCGTACAAACAGGGGCCATAATCCATGAAGTTTCGATCCGATACATGCCAATATCGAAAGCAGCCGAGATCTTTTGGGGATAAACCTATATTTCAAGTTTCGTCAAAATCGGACAAGAATTGTGACCTGTAGAGAGTCCACAAACAAATTGTGGACGGACGGACAGGGGCGACGACAATATACGTCCACATGAAAATGTGGGCGTATAAAAATTGTGACCTTTAGAGGGTCCACAACCTCCGTATTAATACTTTTACACAATATGCACAAGGAGCGACCATTTTGTGGGGCAGTTTCGTTTTGATTTTCCCCAAATTTGAACTCAACCTTCATTATGGTGTAACGGTGATATATTTAACAGGTTTAAAATCGGATAAAAAGTGTGACCTCTAGAGATTCCACAAGCTAAAAATGTGATTTTTTTGTACAATCAGGGGCCATAATTCAGTAAGTTATGGTCAGATATGTGCGAATATCCAGAGGAACTGAGATCTTTGGGATATAAACATATATTTTAAGTTTCATCAAAATCAGACAAAAATTGTGACCTCTAGCGGGTCCACCACCTTGGCAATATATACCTTTACACAATTTGCGTTCAAGGAATGGCCATTTCGTCAGGCAGTTTTGGTTCGATTTTTATGAAATTGGAATTCAATCACCATCAGGTGTAACGATGATATATCCAAACGATTTTTAAAATCGGATAAAAATTGTGACCTCTAGTGGTTCCACAAGCTAAAATCGCAATTTTTTTCTTACAATCTGGGGACATAATCCAGGAACTTACGGTTCGATATGCGCAAATATCAAAAGAAACCGAGATCTTTGGGATATAAACACATGTTTTGAGTTTCATCAAAATCAGATAAAAATTGTTATCTCTAGAGGGTCCACAACCTTGATATTACATACTTTAACACTATTTGCATATAGGGAGTGACCATTTTGTCTGGCAGTTTCGGTCCGATTTTCACGAAATTCAATTTCGACCATCATTATGGTGTAACTCTGACAGATTCAAACGTTTTTTTTTTAAATCAGATAAAAATTGTGACCTCTAGAGGAATCACACGCTAAAAGCGTGATTTTTTGAACCGATATGCGTGAATAACGAAATTAACCGAGATTATTAATTATAAACATATATTTCAAGTTTCAACAAAATTGGAAAAAAATTGACCTCTAGCAGAGTGTCCACAAGCTAAAAACGTGATTTTTCATACAATCAGGGACCATAATCCATGAAGATACGATCCGATACATGACAATATCGAAAGGAACCAAGATCTTTCTGAGATAAACCTATATTTCATGTTTCGTCAAAATTGGATAAAAATTTTGACCTGTAGAGTGTCCACATGCAAATTGTGGACAGACAGGGGTGACGACAATATACATCCACATGAAAATGTGGGCGTATAACAATTAAAAGCCTTAAAGACTAGTATGTCATTTTGTAAACAAATATTTTTAGATAGGAAATTATGAAAGAAAAATTTATTTCTGTCATGAGTAAAAGATTTATTTATTTTATTTTTATACTCTTGGGGAAAACCATTAAAATAAACAATGGGTGTTATATTGTTAATAATCTTACATGCAGTTTCTGGCAGCTAAATCTCTATGAACAAACTTAAGGCCAGCTAAATATTCCATTCCCTTAGCTATATCTATACCGAACAGTATTAGATCTTTAATTGTGGGGTTCTGAAATAAAACACACCAATAACAAACCAAAAATAAAAATAAGCAAAACTTTAAAAAAAAGCAAATAAAACAAAATTATAAAAAATAAATAAACCCCAGTTAATTCTAGTAATAAAAATTAAAAGCAAATAAAACAAACAGCCAGACATTAAATACACTGTTACAAAGCTATATTTCTGTGAATACATGTAAAATATGTAACCTTAATGTGCTGGTTAAATTCAACACAAGATCACAGAATATGTATAATGACTACCACCAGAACTTTGTATGGGGCCTTTTTATAATTTGGGGGAGTCGGGAGCAACATTGGCATGTACCAAAAGTGATTAATGTTTGTGCACTGGCAAATATATTAATAGCATAACGCTTCTAATTAAACCCAGAATTATGTTTTATTAGTAGAGGAACATTTTTGGCCAATCAGAATGACCACAATTCCGGTGATTGCACTTCTCTCTTGGTTTTTTGTTGATGTATGTCAGTAAAAATAAATAATTTCTGTGGGTGCAATAATTATGTATATATATAGTTTGCCAGGCAATGAAAACTATGCCCACAGCAGCTAAGTTATCCAAGCAGTCCAATAGATTGTTGATTGTTTACTCATTTGTACTAACTTGTAGGTAATGGGAGGGTTTACAAGACACTGATCAAGAGTAACAAGTAATTATCAGAAAATGAAATGAAATAGGGTTTAACGTCCTACTGTTCTGCTCCAAACTGAGCTGATAAAGACGGGCATACGCCATACAGTGTGCTATGAGGAAATTTTGCCCGGACAGCGGCACTACAGCCTACTCTTATATTGAATTCCAACTGTCAGGGGATTTTTTTTTACGTGTACACCAATGTGTACACAGGACCTCGGTTTTCCGTACCATCCGAATGACTAGACAGCTGTCCTTGCTTGTTACGCCCTCCGTCCTGCATCATTGACAAGGGGGAACCACGCTGGAAAATCCTCTGCCAATGCAGGGATCAAACACCCGACCTCCAGGCTAGCGAGCCAGCATCTTACCCACTTAGCCACAGTGACCCCGAGTAATTATCAGATCTAATTCAAGATTGATTGGCTTGTAGTTGTTCCTAGATCCAACATGTACTGGTAATCAGTTAATAAATTTAGATGTTCAATTTATTGGATATTGTGTCTAATAAACATAAACACTATGTTTAAATTTAAAATTAATCTGATAATCACTTTAGCCATTAAAGGCTCTAGAAGACTTTTAATAGTGATCAAGGGCATTTTTTTCAAAGTGGTCAAGGGCAATAACTCTTGAAGTACTTATCAGAAATTACTGATATTTTAACTTGAGAAAACCCCTGATCTGAATTTTGCTGATATCTTGAGAAAACTCCTGATCTGGATAACTGATGACTTAATTTGAGTAAAACTCTGATCTGGATTACCGATGGCTTAATTTTATTACACCCCTGTTCTGGATTACTGATATTTTAACTTGAGTAAACTCCTTATCTGTATCAGTGATGTCTTAACAAAATTTGTATTCTTAATCTTATAAATTCTTACATTATTTTCATCTCTGATGTAGCTGAGTAAATCACCGTGTTCCATAAACGGTAGAACAACAAGAGGCATGGCATCTAATCCAAGACATATCCCAATTAATTCTAGAACATTCTCATGATGAAAATCTTTCATTAATAGAGCCTCTTGAAGAAAAGCATTTAGCTCTATTTCACGAGGATTACTCTCTGAAAAACAAATTGTTGGAAAGTATGTTTTCAATATCCATACATCAATTCCAAGTATTTACACATTCCACATGGCCAATACTTTGAAAGTTAATTAGAGCAAATGTTTGACAATACATTGGTCAGATTTGAACCTGTGAAATCAAGGACAATATAAAAACCGGTACAACAGATTAATTTGTCATGTGTGATCATACATATTTGAACCAACATCATCAAGTTTCTGTTAATTATAGAGTAGAAATGTAGCGTTTACTTACGATGTAAAGTTTTAACAGCAACCAATATATCTCCTTTTTGTTCAGGCAATGTAAGAAACCCTTTATATACACAGCCAAAATTACCTACATAAAACACAATACAAATAACTCAAATACTGTACATATCAAAAACCATGTCCTGGATAGTCAATAAAATAGCAGAGAGATAACACAGGACTCTCACTACAACACCAGACTATTATTCTCACCTCATTGTTAAATCCATGCCATTTTTGGCCTATGACAGTTTTTCGAACATTTTGATGATCCTATCTTGATAATGACAAAGAGCTCAATGTGTCACAAGCATCTGATAAAATATTATAGAAGGTAGTTGAGCATCTCATTTTCAATTTTATATCTACGCCAGGTTAAAGGCATCCATAGACTGTGACGTTATTTTCTTAATCGATTTCCCTAATTGTTCTTCTTATGCACTAATGGAAAATATAAACAATTTTTTTAAAATTCCTCTATCGAATAATTTTGAAATTTAAATTCAATTATCTTTATAGTGTGTTTAATCTTATAAAGGCAATAATTTAAAAAGACATTAAGGGTTGAGTGAATACTAGTGCTGGGTATTGCCACGGCAGTCATGATACAATACATATTGTGATTCAAGTACTATGATACGATTCGTATCATGATTCATAACCAGGTCAATATTTATCAAGAAAACAACAAGATAAATGAATAATTGATATTTTTAGTCCTGCCAATGTCGAAGAAATTAAACTGTTTTATATCATGAAATTGATGTAGATCAAAACAATGACCAAAATCATTTAAGAGTGTTTGTGTGGATAATGTGTGACGTAGATAATTAAGAGTGACAGGTTACTTACTGAAGCGACAAAAAAAAACATAAAAAAAGAACCCTGATAAATCAATTCAGTTTCTCGCGATTCAATATGCGAATAGTGAAAAGGTGAATCGCGATACATCGATTGAATGATATATCATGCCAACAATATATTGTGGTGCCAACAATATATCGTGCAAGCACTAGTCAATACTACATCCATAAGTGCTAGTTTTACCTTTGCCCAATATTTCAGTTTTAGTTAAATGTTCACTGTCTATAAGCAGATTTTCATTTGTTATTAAAGCTAACAGATCATCATCTATAAGGGTTGAAGGTGCAGCTGCAGCAATAGCATCTCTTTCTGTATAATCTGTAAACATAATATTACTATATATGATTTTATGTTTAGTTTGTTAAAAGCAATGTTATAAGAAAGCCACATAACATGGAAATATTCCCACTTTCGCCCATTTAGCAACAATGTCTCAACAGCAGCTTAATTGGATGTTGACCAAATTTGATATTTCAGAAAAGGAACTGATAGTCGCTGAATGCTGAATATCGTCCTCTCATGACCACAATGCTTCACACCAAATTTGAAAAATATCTGTCAAAAACTGTAGCCACTAGCCAACTACGCACTCCCTATACAAACAATCCACATTCCAACAAAATGAGAAATAAAAAAAAACCTTACTGTTTTGTCTGTTTTCTAGGTTAAAAGTATGTTCACCAGGTTGTGTTAAACTATCAATACCAATATGATCACCTTGTGTATATCTGATACTACGATCATCACATGGGGGTTTAAAGAAACCAATACGTTTTTTCTTCATTATACATAATATAACGAAAACGGCTATACAGATTAAAGCTATTATTACACCCAGTATAACAAGTTGGTATGTTGAAGCTGATGCTCCTGCTGTATATATGACAAATCCTATTTCATAATGAAGATTACCAACATGAACCTAAAATACACACAAATATCATACATAATTTCCTGACATAATAATCTCAAATTAAAAATCAATCGACCAGTTTGAATAATTTTTATTTTATCTGTTTCCATAATTAATTTTTTTTTGGAAGAGATGTTAAAGGAGCACTCTTACATTTCATCTGATATGAAAACTTGAAATTTACGATTACAGTAAATGTAATAAAATAACCTTTTTACCCTGTCTGAACAGGGTTACGAACTGTTTACATGTACTGAGAATTGTGATAAAGGCAACTCATCACTCCGGGAAGCTAACAGACATGGACTGTTATTCAGCCATTGTTGCAGCTGTCAGATTGGAACCTTGTCAATAATTATAATAAAAATGATTGTATTTTTTCAAAAAGTTCTCTCCGACAGCTGCATGGGATTATTCAGGGTTTTTTCACCAAAATATATCTGAGGCAGGTCATATTGTCATATCTATCATAACATCAAACTAACAGGGTTGATAATTAGTAGTTGCCAACTGGTCTGGGGCCATTATTTATATCTAAAGGAGGCAAAGGATTTTGAAATAGCATGCCACTATCAATTGGAATTTGAGTATGGCTTATAAATAAGATATGGTGCTCACCACTTGATTAATATATAGAACAGCTGATACCACTTCACATTTGAGGCATTCAAATTTTTGAAATAAAATTTGGTATGGGTCAGTTGATAAATCAATAATTTGACCATTGCAATTTTAGTTTGTTGAAACTGTACTAACCTCTACTTTTCTCTTGGGTTCATTTTCACTTATAGATGTTGGTTTATTACTCGGAATACATTTAATATTAGTTTCTTCTAAATCTTTTACTTTACATATATCATCTCCTACAATAACTTTTATATCTGTCTGTGTAAAACCTAATCCTATATTATCACCCTGTAAATAATTATATCCTTTATCTAAGTAAAACTGTAAATCTATATATAACAAATATAGTTTACTCCCAGGAAGTCTCTGTTAGGGTCCATAGAAGATTAAGAACAAATATTCTCTTGTTTACCCAATACATGTAACCCCAAACAGATAACTAACAACCCCCTCACAAAAGCTGCAAACCAAGTTATGCATTTGCCGATCTGAATGATATTACAAATTGAAAGATAGGTTGCCAGGCATGGAAACATTTACCCACAGCAGGTAAATCAACCAAGCAGTCCACAAAGGTTGTCACACTGTTGATCTTCAGGTAAATAGAAAGCAAATTCTTTAAACTGATAATATCATTTCAATGTTGACAAATTTTCTATGATATAATCAAGGGTAATAACTCTATAGGCATTGTGTTGCAATATAATTCTTCTCATTGCACTAATCTGAACATAAATTTCAAGCAGACTGAATGTCAGCTATTGCCAATAGACTGCTCACAACATTCCACAAAGTGATCAGAGATAATAACTCTAAAAGTTATCAGAAACTATTGCAATTCAGTCAGATGATCAATGTAATCTGTATGAATAATGATGACTTGATACGGACAAATGATACAGTGAGCGAACAAGCTAAAAAAATAACTGAACACTTTTCTACAATATTAATTGGTAGTAGTGAATAAATTTTAGACGAATCAACAGAAGACTATAATTATCCTCATTGTAAAAACACTTTACACCAAAAGTAACAACACTTTTTTTAAGCATCAACAATTGAAAATTTAGGGAATATCACCGGAATTTTTCATAATCTATATGGGTTTTATATTCTAGTCTATGATGCCGTTTCTATGTTGTATGATATAATCATATGGAAGTGGTTAACAGGCAACAATATTTAACACTAAGTTTCAACTTACTTCAATGACAAGATTTGATTGTGAAACATCAAACTCTAAAACATTCCCGTCTCCACGAAATTTATCAAACACTGGATCAGGATAATATGTAAAACTACTTAATTTCCCCTGTGTTTGATGAAAGTTGCGTAAATTTTCCACACCATCCATAATAAACCACAAATTGACTTCCTCTGGATCTGTTTTCTCTGCATTGGTGATGACAGAACTAAAATCAAGAGCTGGACAAATCATAGCTTCTCCTCCTTCCGTAACATTACAAAGCTACAAATACAATACTAAAGTTACAATATAAAAAAACATGTAGAATATAGCAGAGAAATAATGCATTGATGATTATAAAGGTCAAATTCTATATAAAATGTGTATTTATTCACATAGTTTCATTAGAAATACAGCACAAACAATTAATTTTTAGGAAGAAAGAGAGAGAAATGGGGTTTAACATCCACTCAACACAAACTAGGTCATTTCGGGACTAACATATGGTTTAATTTTATTTCAATAATTCGCTTGCGCGTAGGGGTCTTTAGCAGCGGGAGGAAACCGGAGGACCCGGGGAAAACCCACGCGGTTGGACAGGCGACCCTAATCCTTGTCGCGTACAACCGGGGATTCGAAACCACGCCAGTTGACTAAATGACAGGCCTTATGATACAGCAAGCATGTGCTAACCATTCGGCCATCCAACCCCCTTTTAGGAAGAAAAACCACTAGTTTTAATTAAATGCATTTATATAATTGATCACTGTCATTTTCCTGTTGGGTCGATGGCAATTAAGTTCACCTTTATGTGGACCTATATTATTATAGTTTCCTTTTTAACATAAGGAGTACTGCACTACATGCAAAACAAAACCAACAAAACAAGACAGACATTACAAGAAATAAACAACAAATATCAAATCAAGTGAATGGATTGTTGTTTCTTTTTTTTCTAACTGGGGTATGCAATTAATGTATGTATATTGTATCAGGATTATATTGTAACTTTAAGTGCAGTTGAATTTTCGGCAGATTATCAAATAACTTAAATCGTTATTTTTATTATATGAAAGGACTGTTGAGAGTCTTATGGACCCTTGACACTTAAAACAATATATGTAGTGACTCGTTAAGTCTGAGGATTTAAAAAATATTTTTTTAAGATATGTGAAAACAAGAAATCATGTTGGTGCCTCTGAAGAAAGTCAAAATTTTAAATTGTCCATTCCAGCAGATCAGACAGTCAAATGATAGCCTGAATTGATGACATAACTTGATAAATGGTTTGATAAAATAAAGTGTTACTACATTACCTCTTGTTGTGTTAAGTCTTTCGCATCTAACGAACCTCCTATATACGGTCTAGCTACTGAATCCAAGTTAGATCCTCTCACAGTTATTGGTATACCACCACTACATGTATAGAAAATATATAATAAAATCACTATCCAAATTCAATACACCCATTCCAAGTGTATTTGGTTACATATTGATGACGACAACGTTTTATCGAATTAAAGAGAAACTTTCACTCCTGCCAAAAAAACAATTGAATAAATTTATAATAGCATTATACAGTAGTCATTCACACAGAATTGACACTAGATTTAAACACTTTTCCAGACTAAAATCTTACCTAACAAAAGATTGACGTGGTAAAATATGATCAATTGTCGGGTTTTCTAAGTAGAAAAAGTTAGTTTCTTCATTTTCATCAATACTTAAGGTAGCATCATCAATTTTAACAATGAGTGGACCATATCCTTTAGCTCTATTTATAAATCTTTTTCTTCTTGATGATATGAAACCAGATGTTTCTGACCAAGGAACAGTTGTACAGTCAATCTGTGTACTAGTTAAACTAAATAAAACACAGAAAAATATTCTTCTTCTTAAAGAGTTTTTACATTTAACTAACTAAAACATAATTACCGATAAGTACAACAATTTGTAAATGACTTGATTTAAAGCTTCCAAACAAGTTAATTGAACTATTTCTTCACATTTTGGTATTTGCTTTATTCATACCCATTTCTATGAACCAATGGAATGCAAAATCTGAGACGACTTCTATAAACAACTTTTCATTCTTGCACATAGAAATAACTACCAGACTATTTCATCCATTGTCAAGCTTACCCTCAGATAAACAGTTCGATAATCAATGTTATTACTCCATGTGTTTTAAAGGGCCAATCCCGATAATATTTTGGAGAATAAAACTGGTTAATTTTGAGTTAAAATCCCTTAAAATCCTCTACCTTAGGGCCGAGCAACTAACTCAATATATTTGATACGTTTTCAAACAACTTAATCCCATCAGTCTTAATCTGGAAGTGGGGACTGGTGCCCCGAGCTGTATTATGCAGTGTCTGGATAAAACCAGACTTTTATTTTATATAAATAATGTGTAGGTGAAATTTACCTTTCCTTATCAGGTACAGCACATGGGTCACTCACTATATAAACCTCTAAAGGAACGGGAATCGATTATCAGGTCACCGATCGAAAGAACTGACCCAAAATCTTAAAAGGGGGTTACGTGTCCGGATAAGCAGTTTTGAAGTTCACGTCCAAATGACTCAATATTTTGAGCTGAAATTTTAAGACAGTGTAAATACACCATTCCTCTATATTTTGGCGCTTAAATTTCATATGTACTCGGACTTTTATTTTTGAGACTCTGTTCAATTCGGGATAGTCCCTTTAAGGTCTCTACCACTAAATATCCAAATTATTGTGAAATTCAGCTATGACCATTTTAAAGTATAATTGGCTTACTGCACTCACTTGAAAATGATACAAGTAAAATTATAAGCAACAGACACATTTGGCAATCCTCCTATATTCAAATTATATCCCTTGATCCTTATGTTAGTCCCTCCTGCTACAGGCCCTTGTTTTGGTTGAAAAGACTCTATTTTTGGTTCCTGGAAAATAATAAACATTTAAAGTTTTGAGGTAAATTCAGAATGTGTATATCAAAAGATCATTACTGGGAATTTGGGGCTTACAAATTATTAATAGTGGTATATCAAGAGATTAAGTCTTATTAAGCCAGACCTCTCGCAATCAAAACACTACTTCTTTCACTGCCTTGCCCACAAGTATAGTCATTGTAGTAATAGCAAGAGGTTACTGCACGGGTCATGGGTCAATCACTGCAATTTAATATTTAAACAAGAACATATTTGAATTTATTTTCAGCATTATATAATTATATACAGTCAATGAAACAGTTATTTTGAAGGATAAATGTTTTGTTACCTGATAAGAGAAATATTGTTCCGAGTAATCAGTGCCTTCTACATGGTAGCTTCTACCAAACATGATACTATCTGTAACTGTTATCTGTACTGGTCTCTGTTGTACAGGAGCAGGACCAGTTCGACATATTAACCTATTTAAAAATTTATATTATCAGTAAAAACACTTAAGTCTAAGAGTCAAATGCTGAAAATAAAATACCAAAAGTTGATCCAAAGAAAGAGCCTGTTATCATGTGATGTAAAACATAGACGGTGGCTCGTCATGAAGGGTGGAAAAGTCATCACAGTATTCAGATTTAACAGTAAGTCAAAGAGCAATAAATTTATTTAAAAAGTTTAACCAGCGGCTGCCACGCAGGATACGCCCACATTTTCGAGAGATGGATAGAGAACAAGCTAAAAAGAAAGTGATTTTTCCGACAATCAAGGTCCATATTTCAGGAAATTACAATTTGATATGCGCAAATATCGAAAGGAACCAAGATCTTTGTGTTATAAACTTACATTTCAAGTTTCAACAAAATTGGATAAAAACTGTAACCTCCATTGACCATTGGATCCACAAACTTGATATACCATATTTTTACGCTATTTGAGAACGAAGGGCGGCCATTTTGTCTGTCAGTTTTGGGTCGATTTTCACGAAATTCGAACTCAGCCGTCCTTATGGTGTAACGGTGATATAATAATAGGTTTTTTTAAAAATCGGATAACAATTATGACCATCACATAGGGTCCACAAGCTAAAAACGTGATTTTTCGTACAATCAGGGGCCATAATTCAGGAATCTACGGTCTGATATGCGCGAATATCGAAAGGAACCAAGATCTTTCGGTTATAAACTTACATTTCAAGTTTCAACAAAATCGGATAAAAATTGTGACCTCTATTGGGTCCACAACCTTGATATACCATATTTTTACGCTATTTGAGAACGAACGGCGGCCATTTTGTCTGTCAATTTGGGACCGATGTTTACGAAATTCGAACTCAGTTGTACTTAGGGTGTACCGGTGACATAATAATATGGTTTTTAAAATCGGATAAAAATTATGATCTCTATAGGGTCCACAAGCTAAAAACGCGATTTTTCGTACAATCAGGGGACTTAATTCAGGCAGTTACGGTCCGATATGCGCGAATATCGAAAGGAACCGAGATCTTTGGGTTATAAACTTACATTTCAAGTTTCAACAAAATCGGATAAAAATTGTGACCTCTATAGGGTCCACAACCTTGATATACCATATTTTTACGCTATTTGAGAACGAACGGCAGCCATTTTGTCTGTCAATTTTGGGCCGATTTTCACGAAATTCTAACTCAGTCGTCCTTAGGGTGTAACGGTGATATAATAATACGCTTTTTTAAATTGGATAAAAATTATGACCTCTATAGGGTCCACAAGCTAAAAATGCGATTTTTCGTACAATCAGGGACCATAATTTAGGAAGTTAGCGTCCGATATGCGCGAATATTGAAAGGAACAAGATCTTTAGGTTATAAACTTACATTTAAAGTTTCAACAAAATCGGATAAAAATTGTGACCTCTATAGGGTCCACAAGCTAAAAACGTGATTTTTCGTACAATCAGGGGCCATAATCCATGAAGTTTCGATCCGATACATGCCAATATCGAAAGATGCCGAGATCTTTTGGGGTTAACCTATATTTCAAGTTTCGTCAAAACCGGATAAGAATTGTGACCTGTAGAGAGTTCACAAACAATTGTGGACGGACGGACGGACGGACGGACGGACGGACAGACGGACGGACAGGGGCGACGGCATAATATGTCCACATGAAAATGTGGGCGTATAAAAATGGTTATTTAAGAAGTAAATCTCAAAAACTAACACTGACATGTTTACATTGACAGGGGCTATAAAATGTCAATAAAATAATATGCTAAACAATCTTAAAAATATAAGAAAACTCTGTGAATGGTTTACTAGATTTAGAAGACAGTGACAAAAGATTTATGTGTGACTGATTTGCATTAAGGGGTCTCCTCATGACTAGCCAAACACGCCAGTGATGCTAATGTGCCCCACCTCAATCCCAAAATAAATAAATGACACATTAATTAATAACATATTTTTTTTTGTTTAGTTTTGAGCAATAAACTTAGATAAAGCAGAATGGTTTTGATGTAGTGAAACTATACCAAGTATCATCACTCTCCCTCAATTCAAATCAACATTATTGTGTCTAGAAGCATCAACCAATCAAATTGCTCATCTCTGCTTAGCCTTGGCGAAAAATGTTAATCATCAAGTCATGACATTACCTTAAGGAACATCTACACAAATAGCCAGGGTTTTTATGACAGCATCGTGTTGCGTTAAAAGGTACTATAAGCCAAACCAGTTTAACTATTCTGACCTCTTCAGTCGGAGGTTAGAGTTAACTATGCATGGGTAGCTTTGTATTCTTTATTCGGTTCTAGCACGCTTTTGATAACATTGGCACTGTCTGACCCCGATATTTTCACAGGAATGTAACTTACTGCATACTGCGCATGCTCAAAGCAAGCTGGAGCAGGTTTTTTTTAAGCCAACCCGTTCAGACGGCTAAGATGAACCAGTTTAAAATAAAAAGCCTTCTCGAAGATAGGTCGCGAGCTGGGGTTTTTAAACTGGTTTATTTGCCCCATATTTGCATTCAGATGCTTAACTTAAACTGGTTTAACGATCCCTGGGGTTTTTAAACCTGGGCCCTGTTTCTCGAAATCTTAACTAAAGATAAAATCCAAATTTTAGAAGATACTTCAATTTTGATTGGCTAAGCGCTAAAATCAATCTAATAGTATCCAATCAAATTACTAAAATTTGGATTTTATCTTAGTTAAAAATTCGTGAAACAGGCCCCAGTTCAACTTAAGAGTCTGAACGGCATATAAGTGTGAACATTCTATCTCAATTAAAGGAACTAAATTGCTAATATTTGGGACCTAGAAATTGACCCAAATGTGTTGCAACTCATATAATAATGTAATCTGATTGTATATAAACTGATTTACATTCAATTGTTTCCGGTTTGACTCTAATTTCAAATCAGTTACGTTCAGCGAAATACGGCATGAGTCTCAACCGATTTGCAATTTCCAGCGTCTGGTTATTACAGTCTATTGCGCATGCTCTCCAGATAAGATATGGCGTGACCGTTTGAAATGAGATGTGGAATATGTATAGCCTCGTTCTTTCTAGTCACTTGTTAGAAACCCACTGTGGTACACGATTCGTGTACCAATGGTAAAATATTTATTTTATCTTAAATATTGGATATCAGAGGCCTACCTTTTCCCCGGTAAGATCACAACATAATGTTGATTTGAATTGACAAATAATTCGCGTTTTCATCGTGTAAGACTTTGGATGACATTGAGTTAGAGACTTAGCTACTTTAAAAGCAGAGTTATTGTGTTCCAAAGTCTTAAACAATCAAATCAAAGCATTAGCAGAAAACTCCCATCATCGAACTTAGTCATAGTGAATGATATACTGGTAATATGGTATTTTATAAAATGAAACTTTCTTACCATGTTGAATTCGAATTTTTAATGTCACATTTTATCTTAGAAATTTCAACAGTCAGACTGGCTTTATCTTTTAATATTGCGCTTCCAAAATTTTGACCAGTCAAAGTCAATAAAGTTCCACCTTGAGTTGGACCATTTAGAGGATTAATCTAGAAAATAAATGAAAATGGTCTACAATCCCTGTCTTATAAAGAATACACTGTAGGCAATCATCTCAGGGTCAACACTTCTCTATCTTGTGTCTAGTCTGATAGGTTTATTTATGGGAACAATACACATAATCTGAATGCCAGTGTCCCTCTCCTTCGCTCTATTATCTATAGCATTAATGTATTTATGGGAGCCATGCACATTATCTGAATAACAGTGTCCCTCTCCTTCGCTCTATTATCTATAGCACTAATGTATTTAGAAAGGTGTGCATTCCCGTAATAAGAAAACAACTGTTCTAAATCTTTATCCTAGTCCTGTACAACTATGTAAAGCACTGTGAAGAAATTATTTAGTTCCCCAATATCATGTTGTGTAAGTGCCTGGATAACCATGTTTATAAATAGCCTATACTTGTCGTAGTTATATTGTAAGTGACCGTCTTGATTATCAAGTCACTCGTAAATTGGAAGAAAGAAATTCTTTAAATGGTTTACTAACCCCAAAATGCTAATATTGTGAAAAGTTGAACATTTTAATTTCAAATTTGCAGACAAATCTCAAACCACAGTTTTAAAGTGTTATTAATTTATGTACCAGATACTTACAGAATGAAGAGAAGGTGGACATTGATTACGATTAAAATCATTATCACATTCATTGTATGTTGTACACTTTCCCCTACACCAGCCACATCCCAGAGGATCTGAACTTGATAAACATGAATCACAATCACTATGTACTCCACATGAATCTAAGGAAAACTTTATAACCTAAAACAAAAGATTAAAACAAGTTTAAAACATGAAAGTCATTCACTTGAAAAGAATCCATTAACCATTATATATTTGATCATACAGCATAAGATAAATGAAATTACAATTTAATTTTTTTTTCTTCAGATTTTCAATCTACATTGTAATCTGTGTTTTGCCCTTGTGACAATTCTATGTAAAACATCTCAACTGATCAAACTATATTAAAACATGATGAAAACGCACTACTTTTATACATGGATGAATGTAAATCTTGTTTGAAAGATACACTTTTATATTACGCTTCTGAATATCAGATCAAATCTATAACATGAACGAATGATGTTTTCAAGATAGCGTAAAGTTAAACACTAACCAGCGGCTGCCAGGCAGGATACACCCACATTTTCGAGAGATGGATAGAGAACAAGCTAACAAGAAAGTGATTTTTCCTATAATCAAGGGCCATAATTCAGGAAATTACAATTCGATATGCGCAAATATCGAAAGGAACTGAGATCTTTGTGTTATAAACTTACATTTCAGGTTTCAACAAAATCGGATAACCAGCAGCTGCCATGCAGGATACGCCCACATTTTCGAGAGATGGATAGAGAACAAGCTAACAAGAAAGTGATTTTTCCTACAATCAAGGGCCATAATTCAGGAAATTACAATTTGATATGCGCAAATATAGAAAGGAACTGAGATCTTTGTGTTATAAACTTACATTTCAAGTTTCAACAAAATCGGATCAAAAATTGTGACCTCTATAGGGTCCACAACCTTGATATACCATATTTTTACGCTATTTGAGAACGAACGGCAGCCATTTTGTCGGTCAATTTTAGGCCGATTTTCACGAAATTCTACCTCAGTCGTCCTTAGGGTGTAACGGTGATATAATAATACGGTTTTTTAAATTGGATAAAAATTATGACCTCTATAGGGTCCACAAGCTAAAAATGTGATTTTTCGTACAATCAGGGGCCATAATTTAGGAAGTTAGGGTCCGATATGCGCGAATATTGAAAGGAACAAGATCTTTGGGTTATAAACTTACATTTCAAGTTTCAACAAAATCGGATAAAAATTGTGACCTCTATAGGGTCCACAACCTTGATATACCATATTCTTACGCTATTTGAGAACGAACAGGCGCCATTTTGTCTGTCAATTTTTGGCCGATTTTCACGAAATTCGAACTCAGTCGTCCTTAGGGTGTAACGGTGATATAATAATAGGTTTTTTTAAATCAGATAAAAATTATGACCTCTATAGGGTCCACAAGCTAAAAACGAGATTTTTCGTACAATCAAGAGCCATAATTCAGGAAGTTACGGTCCGATATGCGCGAATATCAAAAGGAATCGAGATCTTTGGGTTAAAAACTTACATTTCAATTTTCAACAAAATCAGATAACCAGTGGCTGCCAGGCAGGATAGGCCCACATTTTCGAGAGATGGATAGAGAACAAGCTAAAAAAGTGATTTTTCGTACAATCAGGGGCCATAATTTAGGAAGTTACGGTCCGATAAGCACGAATATCAAAAGAAACCGAGATCTCTGGGTTACAAACTTACAGTTCAAGTTTCAACAAAATCCGATAAAATTGTGACCTCTATAGGGTCCACAACCTTGATATACCATATTTTTACGCTATTTGAGAACGAAGGACAGCAATTTTGTCAGTCAGTTTTGGGCCGATTTTCACGAAATTCGAACTCAACCTACCTTAGGATGTAACGGTGATATAATAATACGTTTTTTTTAAATCGGATAAAAATTATGACCTCTATGGGCTCCACAAGCTAAAATCGTGATTTTTCGTACAATCAGGGGCCATTATTCAGGAAGTTACGTTCCGATATGCGCGAATAACAAAAGACACCGAGATCTTTGGGTTATAAACTTACATTTCAAGTTTCAACAAAATCGGATAAAAATTGTGACCTCTATAGGGTCCACAACCTTGATATACCATATTTTTACGCTATTTGAGAACGAAAGGCGGCCATTTTGTCTCTCAGTTTTGGGCCGATTTTCACGAAATTCGAACTCAGTTGTCCTTAGGGTTTAACGGTGATATAATAATACGTTTTTCTAAATCGGATAAAAATTATGACCTCTATAGGCTCCACAAGCTAAAATTGTGATTTTTCGTACAATCAGGGGCCATAATTCAGGAAGTTACGTACCGATATGTGCGAATATCGAAAGGAACCGAGATCTTTGGGTTATAAACTTACATTTCAAGTTTCATCAAAATAGGATTAAAATTGTGACCTCTATAGGGTCCACAAGCTTGATATACCATATTTTTAAGCTATTTGGGAGCGAACGGCGGCCATTTTGTCTGTCAGTTTTGGGCCGATTTTCACAAAATTTGATCTCAGCCGTCCTTAGGGTTTAACGGTAATATAATAATAGTTTTTTTTAAATTGGACAAAAATTATGACCTCTATGGGCTCCACAAGCTAAAATCGTGATTTTTCGTACAATCAGGGGCCATAATTCTGAAAGTTACGGTCCGATATGCGCGAATATCGAAATGAACCGAGATCTTTGGGTTTTAAACTTACATTTCAAGTTTCAACAAAATCAGATAAAAATTGTGACCTCTATAGGGTCCACAACCTTGATATACCATATTTTTACGCTATTTGAGAACGAACGGCGGCCATTTTGTCTGTCAATTTTGGGCCGATTTTTATGAAATTTGAACTCATTCATCCTTAGGGTGTAACGGTGATATAATAATACGGTTTTTTAAATCGGATAAAAATTATTACCTCTATAGGGTCCACAAGCTAAAAACACGATTTTTCGTACAATCAGGGGCCATAATTCAGGAAGTTACGGTCCAATATTCGCGAATATTGAAAGGAACTGAGATCTTTGGGTTATAAACTTACATTTCAAGTTTCAACAAAATCGGATAAAAATTGTGACCTCTATAGGGTCCACAACCTTGATATACCATATTTTTACGCTATTTGAGAACGAACGGCGGCCATTTTGTAAGTCAATTTTGGGTCAATTTTCACAAGATTCGAACTCAGCCGTCCTTAGGGTGTAACGGTGATATAATAATACATTTTTTTAAATCGGATAAAAATTATGACCTCTATAGGGTCCACAAGCTAAAAACGCGATTTTTCGTACAATCAGGGACCATAATTCTGGAAGTTACGGTCTGATATGCGTGAATATCGAAAGGATCCGAGATCTTTGGGTTATAAACTTACATTTCAAGTTTCAACAAAATCGGAAAAAAATTGTGACCTCTATAGTGTCCACAACCTTGATATACCATACTTTTACGCTATTTGAGAACGAACGGCGGCCATTTTGTCTGTCAATTTTGGGCCGATTTTCACGAAATTCGAACTCCGCCATCCTTAGGGTGTAACGGTGATATAATTGAACGTTTTTTTTAAATCGGATAAAAATTATGACCTCTATAGGGTCCACAAGCTAAAAACACGATTTTTAGTACAATCAGGGGCCGTAATTCAGGAAGTTACGGTCCGATATGCACGAATATCGAAAGGAACCAAGATCTTTGGATTATCAACTCAGATTTCAAGTTTCAACAAAATCTGATAAAAATTGTGACCTCTATAGTGTCCACAAGCTAAAAACGTGATTTTTCGTACAAACAGGGGCCATAATCCATGAAGTTACAGTCCGATACATGCCAATATTAAAAGGAACCGAGATCTTCGGGTGATAAACCTATATTTCAAGTTTCGTTGAAATCTGATAAAAATTGTGACCTGTAGACTGTTCACAAAAAATTGTGGACAGACGGACGGACGGACGGACAGACAGGGGCGACGACAATATATGTCCACATGAAAATGTGGGCGTATAAAAATTGAAATGTAATGTTTGTGGTAACTTATTTATCCACACATATACCGGTAATAAAAAAAATGGTTTAAAAATGCCGGTGTTCGTTCAACCATTTTGATTTTGTATCTGATAGCAAACTTGTTATAAATAAACCAGTTTTAAAAACACAGCTTATTAAAAAAACTATCTTCGATAAGGCTTCTTATCTTGGCAGCTGGCTTTAAAATGCGAAGTGGGCTCCAGACATACTTCTTGCAGTGTTTCGTTTGATTATACCTAATCCCACTAAACACTGCTTTAACGAAGGCAAATTTCTGTTCCAAATTATGACTGGTCAATGGTCCGATTAACAACCAATAGCTTACTGCGTTACAAGAGCATTACGCTTAAAACAGAGCTCCAAATTGGACCAAATATGTTTACATAACGTTACGTCATGACTCATGATTTTATTATGCCCAATTAACCAGTGCATAGCAGAATATTGCCGAAAACTAATTGCATGACAACTGAGGCTATCAAATCGAAAACAATGTAAACAATACTGTTTGGAGACGAACATACTTTCACCATTTTTAATACCTTAAATCACTGTCTAAAGTTTTAGGGAAGACCCAGATTAAACGAAGAGCTGTCACATTGCTGTACTTGGGATAGATTTGATTGAATGGGAAGAAAAGACAAACTCCCTCAAAAGCTCAAGTATCAGAAGCCAATCCAGCAATGGCCAGAGAGGGATTTCTCGGGCCATTGCTTTAGGAATATGGCTCCAGATAGCTTCGGGCAGGCGCAGTAAGTTGTTTTTCTGGCCCTGTGCCCTTGAGTAATTATGTCAAATTATGTCAAATTAGTCAAACTGGCTTGGCTTATGGTACGTGTGGTCCTCTGGCTTAAAATTAAAAAGCACTGGTGTTTTGAAACCAGTTTAAAAATATCATCGAGAAAGCATATTTTCTTTTACTTTACATGTGATTAAATCAAGGAGAATGTCATTTATTGACACCAATAATCAACAAGAAACAAATTACCTTATTACCAGTAAGTAGATATAATCTTTCTTTATCAACATACATAGTAGATTCTATAGCTGTAGATTGTTGGGATGTAGTATTACCTAGATATAAACTCATATATTCTCGTTCTTCAGATTTATGTACCTGTAATAACATATTAAAAAATATACACGTTCTATTGTGCTTATTACATTTTTTTTATTTTGCTTTTTATTTTGATCTCCTGGGTATTCTTACACACTTTAACATCTTGCATCCCACTCTGTAAATCAAGCGAGAGAGAGCGAGAAATGGGGTTTAACGTCCACTCGACACCAACTAGGTCATTTCGGGACTAATACATGGCTCAATTTTATTTCAATAAATCGCTTGCGCGTAGAGGTTTTTAGCAGTGGGAGGAAACTGGAGGACCCGGAGAAAACCCACGAGGTTGGACAGGCGACCCTACTCCTTGTCTGTAAATCAAGCACTTTAAATGTGAATATAATGTTCTTGGGTATATTTGGAATACAAGTTAACTGTAATGGAATGAAATGAAATGGGGTTTAACTCCTACTTTTCTGCTCCGACTGGGCTAATAAAGATGGGCATACGCCATACATTGTGCTATAAGGGAAATTTTGCTTGGGCAGCGGCACTATGGCCTACTCTTATATCGAATTCCAACAATTTATACACAGGACCTTGGGTTTTCATCCCATCCGAATTACTAGATAGGTGTCCTTGTCAGGCCCTTCGTCCTGCACCACTGACAAGGGGAAACCACGTCGGCAAAGGGGATGGATGACTCTAAAAACGGTGGGAGTGAACTTTTTATTTTGTCAAAGGATCAAGTCACTACTGTTGTTAATGAATTCTCCCCAATTTATATCATTATGTTGTTTATAAGAATACGGTAAATGATTATCTAGTGTCATTTATGATTGTTAGTAATATTTATCAAGGTTTTGTTTCTTAACCAGCATAAAATATTTACATGAGCTCACAAATACGATTGTTTTTATTTTTTAAAATCAAAACAGGTCATGACTCCCTTTTAAAGTGACGTGAGAGTGAGTATCTGAAAACCAGAATATTTTTTTGTATGGCCTAAAGATTAGATTTTAAGCTAACATATGAAATCAATTTTCGCCACTGATAAAAAAAATTCTGTTGCTGAAAAGGGGGTTCAACTTAATATAACAGCCTATTGAAATAAAAACAAACCTTCAACAAAAATCCATCCACTGTTCCTAATAGAACAATTGTTTGTTCATGTTGTTGTATAGAAGCTACTGCCTGGATTATCTTATCTGTGTCAAAAAATCCATTAGCTTCCATCACTTTTTCTGATTGAATTCCACGTCTCTTTTTAATACTACAAATACTATCTGTAGTCCCATCTTGAATTTTCTGTACCTGTAAAGAGGTTATTAAGCAATTAAAAACAAGTCTTTAATAATGTGATGCTACAGTAATCGGTTAAAGCACTGGTCTCTCAACTTATGTGAGCCAGGAACAATCATTAGACTTTTTCTACTCTTGGTTACCTGTATCATGTAACACCTGCAGGACTAGTAAGGAGACCGAGAAATAACCAGCAGCTGTCAGGTAGAATACGCCCAGATTTTCGAGAGATGGATAGAGAACAAGCTAAAAAGAAAGTGATTTTTCCTACAATCAAGGGCCATAATTCAGGAAATTACAATTCGATATGCGCAAATATCGAAAGGAACCGAAATCTTTGGGTTATAAACTTACATTTCAAGTTATAACAAAATCGGATAAAAATTGTGACCTCTATAGGGTCCACAACCTTGATATACCATATTTTTAAGCTATTTGAGAACGAGGGGCGGCCATTTTGTCTGTCAATTTTGCGCCGATTTTCACGAAATTTGAACTCAGTCGTCCTTAGGGTGTAACGGTGATATAATAATACGTTTTTTTAAATCGGATAAAAATTATGACCTGTATAAGGTCCACAAGTTAAAAACGCGATTTTTCGTACAATCAGGGGCCATAATTCAGGAAGTTACGGTCGAATATGCGTGAATATCGAAAGGAACCGAAATCTTTGGGTTATAAACTTACATTTCAAGTTTCAACAAAATCGGATAACCAGCGGCTGCCAGGCTGAGGCAGGATACGCCCACATTTTCGAGAGATGGATAGAGAACAAGCTAACAAGAAAGTGATTTTTCCTCGATCAACGGCCATAATTCAGGAAATTACAATTCGATATGCTCAAATATCGAAAGGCACTGAGATCTTTGTGTTATAAACTTACATTTCAAGTTTCAAGAAAATCGGATAAAAATTGTGACCTCTATAGGGTCCACAACCTTGATATACCATATTTTTACGCTATTTGAGAACGAACGGCAGCCATTTTGTCTGTCAATTTCCGGCCGATTTTCACGAAATTCGATCTCAGCCATCCTTAGGGGGTAACGGTGATATAATTGAACGTTTTTTTAAATCGGATAAAAATTATGACCTCTATAGGGTCCACAAGCTAAAAACGTGATTTTTCGTACAATCAGGGGCCATAATTCAGGAAGTTACGGTCCGATATGTGCGAATATCGAAAGGAACCAAGATCTTTGGGTTATAAACTTACATTTCAAGTTTCAAGAAAATCGGATAAAAATTGTGACCTCTATAGGGTCCACAAGCTAAAAACGTGATTTTTCATACAAACAGGGGCCATAATCCATGAAGTTTCGATCCGATACATGCCAATATCTTTTGGAGATAAACCTATATTTCAAGTTTCGTCAAAATCGGATAAGAATTGTGACCTGTAGAGTGTCCACAAACAAATTGTGGACGGACGGACAGGGGCGACGGCATAATACATCCACATGAAAATGTGGGCGTATAAAAATGAATATACTTGTTCGTCTCAAGATCTTAAACTCTGTATCAATCTGAAGTCAATCGGATGATAACTTAAGGGCCATAACTTTGGCAGTAATTATCGGAAATCGTTGAAAATCAATAGGAATCTGTGTATAAATTTAAACTCAATCGGATATTAACTTGAGCCTCAAGAGCATCCACAAGATTTTTTGAAGTGATCAAGGGCCATAACTCTGGCAGTAATTATCGGAAATCGCTGAAAATCAGTAGGCTTCTTTGTCTCATGACCTCAAACACTGTGTATAAATTGAAAGTCAATCGGATATTAACTTTGGCCTCTAGAGCATCCACAAGATTTTTTCAAAGTGATCAAGGGCCATAACTCTGGCATCAAGTATAGGAAATCGCTGAAAATCAATAGGCTTCTTCGTCTCATGACCTTAAACACTGTGTATAAATTTAAAGTCAATCGGATATTAACTTTGGCCTTTAGAGCATCCACAAGATTTTTTGAAGTGATCAAGGGCCATAACTCTGGCAGTAATTATCGGAAATCGCTGAAAATCAGTAGGCTTCTTCGTCTCATGACCTTAAACACTGTGTATAAATTGAAAGTCAATCGGATATTAACTTTGGCCTCTAGAGCATCCACAAGATTTTTTCAAAGTGATCAAGGGCCATAACTCTGGCAGCAAATATTGGAAATCGCTGAAAATCAATAGGCTTCTTCGTCTCATGACCTTAAACACTGTGTATAAATTTAAAGTCAATCGGATATTAACTTTGGCCTTTAGAGCGTCCACAAGATTTTTCAGAGTGATCAAGGGCCATAACTCTGGCAGTAATTATCAGAAATCGCTGAAAACCAATATGCTTCATCATCTTATGACCTTAAACACTGTGTATAAATTTAATGTCAATCGGATATTAACTTTAGCCTCTAGAGCATCCACAAGATTTTTGAAGTGATCAAGGGCCATAACTCTGGCAGTAATTATCGGAAATCGTTGAAAATCAATAGGTTTCTTCGTCTCATGACCTTAAACATTGTGTATAAATTTAACGTCAATCGGATATTAACTTTAGCCTCTAGAGCATCCACAAGATTTTTGAAGTGATCAAGGGCCATAACTCTGGCAGTAATTATCGGAAATCGTTGAAAATCAATAGGTTTCTTCGTCTCATGACCTTAAACATTGTGTATCAATTTAACGTCAATCGGATATTAACTTTGGCCATTAGAGCATCCACAAGATTTTTTGAAGTGATCAAGGGCCATAACTCTGGCAGTAATTATCGGAAATCGCTGAAAATCAATAGGCTTCTTCGTCTCATGACCTTAAACACTGTGTATAAATTTAAAGTCAATCGGATATTAACTTTGGCCTTTAGAGCATCCACAAGATTTTTTGAAGTGATCAAGGGCCATAACTCTGGCAGTAATTATCGGAAATCGCTGAAAATCAGTAGGCTTCTTCGTCTCATGACCTTAAACACTGTGTAAAAATTGAAAGTCAATCGGATATTAACTTTGGCCTCTAGAGCATCCACAAGATTTTTTCAAAGTGATCAAGGGCCATAACTCTGGCAGCAAATATTGGAAATCGCTGAAAATCAATAGGCTTCTTCGTCTCATGACCTTAAACACTGTGTATAAATTTAAAGTCAATCGGATATTAACTTTGGCCTTTAGAGCGTCCACAAGATTTTTCAGAGTGATCAAGGGCCATAACTCTGGCAGTAATTATCAGAAATCGCTGAAAACCAATATGCTTCATCATCTTATGACCTTAAACACTGTGTATAAATTTAATGTCAATCGGATATTAACTTTAGCCTCTAGAGCATCCACAAGATTTTTGAAGTGATCAAGGGCCATAACTCTGGCAGTAATTATCGGAAATCGTTGAAAATCAATAGGTTTCTTCGTCTCATGACCTTAAACATTGTGTATAAATTTAACGTCAATCGGATATTAACTTTAGCCTCTAGAGCATCCACAAGATTTTTGAAGTGATCAAGGGCCATAACTCTGGCAGTAATTATCGGAAATCGTTGAAAATCAATAGGTTTCTTCGTCTCATGACCTTAAACATTGTGTATCAATTTAACGTCAATCGGATATTAACTTTGGCCATTAGAGCATCCACAAGATTTTTTGAAGTGATCAAGGGCCATAACTCTGGCAGTAATTATCGGAAATCGCTGAAAATCAATAGGCTTCTTCGTCTCATGACCTTAAACACTGTGTATAAATTTAAACTCAATCGGATATTAACTTTGGCCTTTAGAGCCTCCACAAGCAATTGTGGACGCTGGACCGCCGGACGGGGGCGACGACAATATACGACCACATTTCAATGTAGGCGTATAAAAATCTGTAAATAGACGAATAGCCTTCCCAGATTTCTCTCAGCTACTAGTTTCGTTCTTATTCAAACTTTTCAGGCTTAAATGAGGATGTGCGGTGGCCCTCTATATATAGTGTCGGTGGGCACCGGAGCACATGTGATGTCACAGATGGACCGGAGTCGATCATTGGCACCGGAGTCGATTATTCCGAAAAGTGTGCAAAGATATTCGGCTAAGAATTTGCCGTCATGATTATGCTTGTTTGCATTGACTCAAGGCTCCGAACCCTTTTGATCTCTAAGTTTAAAGTTTCCTAAACTAACGAGGGCTTAAAAATAACTCTATTAGGTTATGGGCGTGTACGCACTAATTTTTAGCTTATGCCGTAGGGGTACCTTGGCTAAATTAATTGGGAACTCGTCCTTGTGTTTCATATTCGGCCTTGATTTAGGCTAAGGATTATGCTACTATTTCGCATACTTTGAAAAGTGGGTCTAGGAAAATATTTCTTGAATTCAACAAGGAGCTCACAAAGTTGTTTTTGCGTTTCTCGATTGAAACGTTGTAAAAATACCCAGTCTTCTTTACTGATGTTTGATTCTGCCAAATCATCGGGATTCGATGTGCGACAAACTGGCCAGGCCTCTAGTTCGAGACATAGATCAACTCCTTCACAAAAAGCCTCCCAGTTACTCATGGTTGGAAAGATACAGGCCAAGGCGATATGCCATATTTTACCTCCGTTGTTTCGGAGACATTGTCCGCAAATTTCCACAGATGTGCTTCATTTTCGAAAGTAGAAATATTAGTGGACGTCCCTATTGTGACGTCACGGGGTACCTCTAAGGCTAAGTGATGGCTATGTGCCAGGTATTTTGAGCGGAGTCGATGATACGAGTTCCAAAAATGGGGATGCACACGAGAGAAAAAAATGTGACTTTTTGGCATTATTTCCTGGTTAATTAGAATGTGAAAAAGACAAAAATAATATTTATAAAGCTACAGAAGTGATTCCAGTGTTTTATACAGAGGTTTGAATATTGATGACCAGGTAATCTGCAATGTTTACCTGGTCATAAAATCATGATTTTTCTGGGAAATTGTGTCTTTTTCCTAGGCCGTTACATCTAGCCCTTCTGTTCTAGCTTCCAGTGTAAACCACAGTTTGGGGGCAGCAACTTCAAAAGCCTTCTTGTTGAAACTGACAAGATTGGCATTTTTCTCAAGGTGCAAATTATCACTGAAAGACTGTAATTGTCAACTAGATTCATAAAAACATAAATTGTACATTTAAAAACTAATAATAAAACCTTAAATAGAGTGTCATATGATCCCTGTATAATGTTCTAGAAATAAGGCGAGCAGCTTTTGTACCTTTTGTACAGGACAGAAATAAAAGAATTTATGTGAGAAGTGCCTAATGAATTTTTAAGTGACAAATAATTACATATTTTACCTATGTTTCTTAAATTAAAATAACTCATTTTACAGATATTGTTTATGTGATTTTCCAAAGAAAAATTTGAATTAAAAATGACACCAATATTTCTGGCTGACTGTGAAGTGACATGCAACTATATCCTGCTTGTATCGATGGATCAAAGTTTAATCTTTGTATCAATAGATCAAAGTTTAACTTTTTCCTGCTTAAATGAGACCCAATAACCAAATATTCTGTCTTATATGCATTAAGTTTAACAAAAATTGTTTTTCATCCAAACATTTATGTCTGCAATATAAGTTTAAATATTTAGCTTGGAAAGTCACTTTTAATAGGTTTGAAGGAAATGTATGGTTATGTATCATCCGCATAGATGAAATAATAATCCATTATGTCTTACTATGAGGTCAAGTGATTAGTGTTGAAGCTAAACAAAAATGGTCCAGGGATGGACCCTTTGGGGTATACCGGAACCCAAAGCAAAAGAAATGAAATGAAATGAAATGGGGTTTAATGTCCTACTGTTCTGCTCCTATACTGGGCTAATGAAGATGGGCATACGCCATACAGTGTGCTATGAGGGAAATTTTGGCCCGGGCAGCGGCACTATCGCCTACTCTTATATCGAATTCCAACTGCCAGAGGATCTTTTACGTGCATTCCAATACATACACGGGACCTCGGTTTTTCGTCTCATCCGAAGGACTAGACAGCTGTCCTTGTCAGGCCCTCCGTCCTGCATCACTGACAAGGGGGAACCACGCCGGAAAATCTGGATGAACTTTCTCGGCCAATACAGGGATCGAACACCCAACCTCCAGGCTAGCGAGCCAGCGCCTTACCCACTTAGCCACGTGACCCCCCCAAAGCAAAAGGGCTAGATGGACATGCAGTTCTAGGAAAAAGACACGATTATCCGTGAAAATCTTGATTTTGCCAAAATTTTGAACCCCTGTATAAAACACTGGAATCACTTCTGTGGCTTTATAAATATCATTTTTGTCTTGTTCACATTCTAATTAACCAGGAAATAACATGTATAACTTTTTTCCATAAAAAAAAAAAAATGCCAAAGAGTTACATTTTGTTTGAACTTTGACAGATGGTTGCACCCTCTAAAAAAATTTCTTATCTATTTCGACATAAATTGAGGGTAGCCCCTTAACTTTTCAAAATTCTGCAAAATAAGGACCACCCTATTCTATACTTTTGTCAAGGTTTGACTTGGTACATGGTTGGGCATGTTTCCTTGTATATGGGATTAAAATGAAACCGCATCAGTTATAGACGTTTTGAACAACTTAACAGTTTATTATTACTACATAAAAGTACATGTATATGATGTTGATTTGGTATAGGTCTATCTACCATTTTACTTGCAAACTGCTTTTTTGTAACCAAAACCAGCGGCTGCCAGGCAGGATACGCCCACATTTTCGAGAGATGGATAGAAAACAAGCTAAAACGAAAGTGATTTTTCCTACAATCAAGGGCCATAATTCAGGAAATTACAATTCGATATGCGCAAATATCGAAAGGAACCAAGATCTTTGAGTTATAGACTTACATTTCAAGTCTCAACAAAATCGGATAAAAATTGTGACCTCTATAGGGTCCACAACCTTGATATACCATATTTTTAAGCAATTTGAGAACGAGGGGCAGCCATTTTGTCTGTCAGTTTTGGGCCGATTTTCACGAAATTTGAACTCAGTCTACCTTAAGGTGTAACGGTGAACTAATTATAATACGTTTTTTTTAAATCGGATAAAAATTATGACCTCTATAGGGTCCACAAGCTAAAAACGTGATTTTTCGTACAATCAGGGGCCATAAATCAGTAAGTTGCGGTCCGATATGCGCGAATATCGAAAGGAACCAAGATCTTTGGGTTATAAACTTACATTTCAAGTTTCAACAAAATCGGATAAAAATTGTAACCTCTGATATACCATATTTTTACGCTATTTGAGAACGAAGGGCGGCCATTTTATCTGTCAGTTTTTGGCCGATTTTCACGAAATTCGAACTCAGTCGTCCTTAGGGTGTAACGGTGATATAATAATATGATTTTTTAAATCGGATAATAATTATGACCTCTATAGGGTCCACAAGCTAAAGAAACGTGATTTTTCATACAATCAGGGGCCATAATTCAGGAAGTTACGGTCCTATATGCGCGAATATCGAAAGGAACCGAGATCTTTGGGTTATAAACTTACATTTCAAGTTTCAACAAAATCGGATAAAAATTGTGACCTCTATAGGGTCCACAACCTTGATATACCATATTTTTACGCTATTTGAGAACGAACGGCGGACATTTTGTCTGTCAGTTTTGGGCCGATTTTCACGAAATTCGAACTCAGCAGTCCTTATGGTGTAACGATGATATATTAACACGTTTTTTTAAATCGGATAAAAATTATGACCTCTATAGGGTCCACAAGCCAAAAAACGCGTTTTTACGTACAATCAGGGGCCATAATTCAGGAAGTTACGATCCGATGTGCGCAAATATCGAAAGGAACCAAGATCTTTGGGTTATAAACTTACATTTCAAGTTTCAACAAAATCGGATAAAAATTGTGACCTCTACAGTGTTCACAAGCCAAAAACGTGATTTTTAGTACAATCAGGGGCCATAATCCATGAAGTTACGGTCTGATAGATGCCAATATCTAAAGGAACCGAGATCTTAGGGTGATAAACCTATATTTCATGTTTCATTGAAATCGGATATAAATTGTGACCTGTAGACTGTTCACAAACAATTGTGGACGGACGGACAGGGGCGACGACAATATACGTCCACATGAAAATGTGGGCGTATAAAAACTAAGGTACCTAGCCAAACTGTGCACCAAGTCAATCTGTGACAATCTGTGTTTATCTTTATGTATACTTACTATGTCAATGTTTTGTTTACATTTCGTTTTAGCATTAAAGATCCAAAATGGCTCTATACCTGTACCAGCTTCGTAGCAATCTCGCAGAACTTCTTGAAAATGTGACTCAATATTAGAAAGAGGAAACAGACACACAGCAGATCCACCTTTAGGATCATATTCATAAGACTGCTTCAAATTCTTGCCGGCTGCCACATATAAGTTTTCGTCTGCTATGTGGGCAGCTGTTGCTACATTAAACAAAAAGTTATTACGTGTACATGCCAGTTTCGTTTCCAAATATGAATAATAATTTTCATCTTGTAAACAAACACGTCCAAGTTTTGTAACAACAATACCATCTTCTTCCTGAACTTTAAGAAAATATCCATATCCTTTATGGCTGAAAGCTATTATAGCTTTAATGTAAAAGTTTGGTTTTAAAATCGGATGTACATCAAGACCAGAAAACAAATCAAGCTCCGGCTCATCAACAAAATAAGAAATATTAAAACCATGATTAAACTGTTCAATTCTTCTTGTCGATAGCAGTAGTGGTGAAAGACTTAAGTTCCTTTTATCATACGTCTGCATAACATATAAAAAATTGTTATTATTAACCAAACCAAAAAATGCTGCACTAGAAGAACGACTTCCCACAAAATTTGTAATGGTGGTTCTGTCCATGGCTTGCAGATTAGTGATATTTATTAAACTGTGCATGTAACAAAGACCTTGTTGTCCACTACCACAAACTAACAATTTACGCTTTCTATGATCAATTTCAAGTATCTTAACGTCATTAGCCATTTTGATTCTTTGTTCATGACAACTTTCAGGAAATGGTAAACAATTTTTGTTATCATTTGTTGGACCTATTGTCACCTGGTTTTTAATTTCAAGTGCTGGATTAAGCTGAACCAAGGTGTTTTGCCCCCCAACATATATTTCTCCTGTTTCATTATCAGCTATTAGTTTCTGCAACCGAGTGGATTCTCCATCAATTTCTATAACTGTCATAAAGTTTGAACAATTCGATCCACAAATTAAATTGAATAATAAAATGAATACACAGATAACAACATAACTGGAGTTAATGTAACAGGTAGACATATTGAATCATTGCCTCAGTATTCTTTTAAATATGTGTCAAAGGAATGGAAGTATATTTAATGTTTGAACTAGTTCCATTTACACAACAATCTGAAAAATATAAATGAATAATATATTTGTACAATTAAGCGACAAATAGCATCATTTTCCATATTAATCCATATGTGGCGCTTTAATATCGAAACTGAGAGAAGTTTTTTAAGGGAGCGATTTTTTAATTTGTTGATTAAGGGGAGTCTTTTTCAGCTCTCCTCTAAAATACAAACAAAAACGACTGTGAATCTGTATTAATTCAAAAACAAATGTTTTAAAAATTTGCATGAAAGCTGTATAGTATCTTAATAACGCTACAAAAAGCGTAAAGGCTTGATTAGTAGAGACTAAGGTGTGGTATGCTTCTTAATTTCTGCCTAATTTTACGTTAGTACATCTAATAAATATAACTTCAAACAATGGTATTCAAGATCAATACCCAAAGTTTTCGCATTCAGTACAGCAATTGGGCCATTGCTGCAGGAATGCTATTATACTGAATTTGATTCCCCATTATGATCCATGTTTATTTGTTAAAGTAGCTAAGTCTTTAACTCAATATCATCGAAAGTCTTACACGTTGACAACACGAATTATTTGTCAATTCAAATCAACATTGATGTTGTTATCTTACTGGGAAAAGGTAGGCTTCTGATATCCAATATTTAAGACAAAATAAATATTTTACCATTGGTACACGAATCGTGTACCATAGTGCATTTCATCATCATTTGTAACAAGTGACCAGAAAGAGCGAGGCTAGACATATTCCACAATTCATGTCATACGGCGACGCCATAACTTATCTGGAGAGCATGCGTAATAGACTGGAATAACCAGACGCTAGAAATTTCTATTCGGTTGAGACTCATGCCGTATTTCGCTGGACATAACTGATTTGAAATTAAAGTCAAAATGGAAACAAATGAATGTAAATCAGTTCATATACAATCAGATTACATTATTAGATGTGTTGCGACCCATTTGGGTCAATTTCTAGGTCCAAAATATTAGCGATTTAGCTCCTTTAAGTTTAAAGATGGTCCCTGGTTCAATTAACACTAACAATAGCACATAACCATGTGTTATTTTACTTTGCCTATTCTGTTCTGAACATCAAATTTTTAAAATATTATTGTTGACAATTCTTTTTTCAAATTTAACCCAAATGATTTTAGTGTGATTAGAGCGACATGAACAACTGAAGTATTGCTAAGATGAATTTTAGTGTGATTAGAAAGGCAACAGGCTGAAAGACAGGTATGTTCATAAAGCACAAATCTTTGAGGCTGTGGACCACTCTTACTCTACCATTCATTAAGTAGATCTAATATAGTAGATCTAATCATAGATAATACGGTATTATCTATGATCTAATGGATGAATGATTGCAAGTGACAAGTGTAATGTGAAGTACGCATGTAGTCTTCAGTGACCGAAAACAATGTGGTAGCTACCATTCCTGGTTTTTGAAGGTCAGATATGATATAAAAACGAAAATCCATTAGTAATTTTTGGAACCGATTCCCCTCACTATTAAAATGTAGGGATTTAGTGAAGTGGAACATTTTTTTTCTAATGTTTTATTGTTTAAATGGGGACACCGTGGGATTAAAGTCATTAACACTTAACCTAATATAATATTAAATATAAAAGAATAAAGTTAGTCAAGTTATTTCTTTAAAAAAATACATTCACTGCAAGTGGAAATGAATAATAGCACCATTTAAATCTGGATAAATCATGAAAACAGCGCACCCATTTTATGTAGGCTAACCAATTGCAGCTTAATACTTAATGATCATCTGGCGTAACCAAAGAAAATGGTTACGCACAGCATAAACTGATAAACCCGCAACCATTTTTCTGGTTACGCCAAAATTTGAAATTTCGTGGCCTGAGATTAAAAGTCCCACCTTGATTTGGCAAACGGGTCTCCCAAACTTAAGAATGCTAAATAAGACTTCCCTACCTTCCGTGTGTGACACTGTCGGTATTCCAAGATAGTCGGTTGGCGTAGCCTCTAATATCAAGTAACCAAAATAATATCAATGTTGGCGTGTGTGTATGGGTAAACGATAGATCTTATAAAGCGAGTACAATATAGAGCGAGGAACATGTCAGTCAATTTGATTGACAGTTCGATGTACGGCCTTGACATTATGTATAGTAGAGACTAAAATCAGACCTTGGATCTACTTAAATTAAAAGATTTTGGAATATTTTTTCAATTAATTTCCATAAAAAACACGAAATTTGAGTGATTTTATTATTTTAAATTAAGAATATTATCGTATATGTCCTAGAAATAGAGAAAATCATCGCATTATACGACACATAAATCGGTTTCGCTTTATATAGTGAGTCTTTTTCTTATATTTGAAAGAAATTTGGAGTATTTCTTTCAATTAATTTCCATAAAATAAAGATATTAGAGTGATTTTATTATATAAATTAAGAATATTATCCTATATAGGCTATCCTATGACCACATATACAACCCAATCGGCCTCGCTTTATAGTGAGTCTTTTTCTTATGTTTAAAAGATTTTGATATTTCTTTCAATTAATCTCCATAAAATAATTATATTAGAGTAATTTTTTTATTATAAATTAAGAATATTATCCTAGAAATGGAGAAAATCATCACACTATTACATAGAATCCAAGGATTGTGGAGTATTTTCTTAAATTAATTTCCATAAAAAAAAACAATAGTAGTTTTATTTGATTATATAAATTAAAAATATTACCCTATATGTCCTAGAAATAGAGAAAATCGTTGCCTTATACCACACATTGAACCCAACCGTCCTCGCTTTATAGTGAGTCTTTTTCTTATGTTAAAATTATATTGGATTATTTTTTTCAATTAATTTCCATAAAAAAAAAGATATTACGGTGATTTTATTATATAAATTAGGAATATTATCCTATATATCCTGGAAATAGAGAAAATCATTGCCTTATACCAAACACAGAGCCGAATCGGCCTCGCTCTATAGTGAGTCTTTTTCTTGTGTTTAAAGGATTGTGTAGTATTTTTTTCAATTAATCTCCATAAAAAAAACATATTTGCAGTGATTTTATTATATAAATTAAGAATGTTATCCTATATATCCAAGAAATAGAGAAAATCATTGTCTTATACCACATATTGAACACAATCGGCCTCGCTTTATAGTGAATCTTTTGGTGTATTTTTTAAATTAATTTCCATTTGAAAAAAAAACGATATTTTAGTGAGTTCTTATATAAATTAAGAATATTATCCTATATATCCAAGAAATTGAGAAAATCGTTGCCTTATGCCACTTATAGAACCCATTCGGCCTCGCTTTATAGTGAGTCTTTTTCTTATGTTTAAAAGATTTTGGAGTATTTTCTTCAATTAATTTCCATAAAAAAACATATTTGCAAAGATTTTATTATATAAATTAAGAATATTACGCTATATATCCTAGAAATAGAGAAAATCATTGCCTTATACCAAACACAGAGCCGAATCGGCCTCGCTCTATAGTGAGTCTTTTTCTTGTGTTTAAAGGATTGTGTAGTATTTTTTTCAATTAATCTCCATAAAAAAAACATATTTGCAGTGATTTTATTATATAAATTAAGAATGTTATCCTATATATCCAAGAAATAGAGAAAATCATTGTCTTATACCACACATTGAACACAATCGGCCTCGCTTTATAGTGAATCTTTTGGTGTATTTTTTAAATTAATTTCCATTTGAAAAAAAAACCGATATTTTAGTGAGTTCTTATATAAATTAAGAATATTATCCTATATATCCAAGAAATTGAGAAAATCGTTGCCTTATGCCACTTATAGAACCCATTCGGCCTCGCTTTATAGTGAGTCTTTTTCTTATGTTTAAAAGATTTTGGAGTATTTTCTTCAATTAATTTCCATAAAAAAACATATTTGCAAAGATTTTATTATATAAATTAAGAATATTACGCTATATATCCTAGAAATAGAGAAAATCATTGCCTTATACCACACATTGAACACCATCGGCATCGCTCTATAGTGAATCTTTTTCTTAATTTTGAAAGATTTTGGTGTATTTTTTAAATTAATTTCCATTAAAAAAAACGGTATTTTAGTGAGTTCTTTTATAAATTAAGAATATTATCCTATATATCCAAGAAATTGAGAAAATCGTTGCCTTATGCCACTTATAGAACCCAATCGGCCTCGCTTTATAGTGAGTCTTTTTCTTATGTTTAAAAGATTTTGGAGTATTTTCTTCAATTAATTTCCATAAAAAAACATATTTGCAAAGATTTTATTATATAAATTAAGAATATTACGCTATATATCCTAGAAATAGAGAAAATCATTGCCTTATACCACACATTGAACACCATCGGCATCGCTCTATAGTGAATCTTTTTCTTAATTTTGAAAGATTCTGGTGTATTTTTTAAATTAATTTCCATTAAAAAAAACCAATATTTTAGTGAGTTCTTATATAAATTAAGAATATTATCCTATATATCCAAGAAATTGAGAAAATCGTTGCCTTATGCCACTTATAGAACTCAATCGGCCTCGCTTTATAGAGAGTCTTTTTCTTATGTTTAAAAGATTTTGGAGTATTTTCTTCAATTAATTACCATAAAAAACATATTTGCAGTGATTTTATTATATAAATTAAGAATATTACCCTATATATCCTAGAAATAGAAAAAATCATTGCCTTATACCACACATTGAACACAATCGGCCTCGCTTTATAGTGAATATTTTTCTTAATTTTCAAAGATTTTGGTGTATTTTATCAATTAATTTCCATTAAAAAAACCGATATTTGAGTGATTTATGATATAAATTAAGAATATTATCCTATATATCAAATTGAGAAAATCGTTGCCTTATACCATTTATAGAACCCAATCGGCCTCGCTTTATAGTGAGTCTTTTTCTTATGTTTAAAAGATATTGGAGTATTTTTTTAAATTAATTTCCATGAAAAAAAGATATTTGAATGATTTTATTATATAAATTAAGAATAATATCCTATATATCCCAGAAATAGAGAAAATCATTGCCTTATACCACACATTGAACCCAATCGTCCTCGCTTTATAGTGAGTCTTTTCTTATGTTTGAAAGATTTTGAAGTATATTTTCAATTAATTTCCATAAAAAAAATAACAATATCAGAGTCTGTTTATTATATAAATTAAGAATACTATTCAAAAAACGATATTAGGGTGATTAGATTATATAAATTAAGAATATTATCCTATGTATCCTAGATATAGAGAAAATCATTGCCTTATATCACATATAGAACCCAATCGGCCTCGCTTTATAGTGAATCTTTTTCTGAAGTTTTAAAGATTTTGGTGTATTTTTTAAATTAATTTCCATTTTAAAAAAAAAGATATTTGAGTGATTTCTCATATCAATTAAGAATATTATCCTATATATCCAAGAAATTGAGAAAATCATTGCCTTATAAAACCCAATCGGCCTCGTTTTATAGTGAGTCTTTTTCTTATGTTTAAAAGATTTTGGAGTATTTTTTTCAATTAATTTCCATGAAAAAAAGATATTTGAATGATTTTATTATATAAATTAAGAATAATATCCAATATATCCTAGAAATAGAGAAAATCGTTGCCTTATACCACACATTGAACCCAATCGTCCTCGCTTTATAGTGAGTCTTTTTCTTATGTTTGAAAGATTTTGAAGTATATTTTCAATTAATTTCCACAAAAACAAATAACAATAGAGTCTGTTTATTAAATAAATTAAGAATACTATTCAAAAAACGATGTTAGAGTGATTAGATTATATAAATTAAGAATATTATCCTAGATATAGAGAAAATCATTGCCTTATACCACATATAGAACCCAATCGGCCTCGCTTTATAGTGAATCTTTTTCTTAAGTTTTAAAGATTTTGGTGTATTTTTTTAAAATTAATTTCAATTTTAAAAAAACCCCGATATTTGAGTGATTTATTATATAATTAAGAATATTATCCTATATATCCAAGAAATAGAGAAAATCATTGCCTTATACCTCATATAGAACACAATCGGCCTCGCTCTATAGTGAATCTTTTTCTTATGTTTGAAAGATTTTGGAGTATTTTTTTCAATTAATTTCCATAAAAAAACATATTTGCAGTGATTTTATTATATAAATTAAGAATATTACCCTATATATCCTAGAAATAGAGAAAATCATTGCCTTATACCACATATTGAACACAATCGGCCTCGCTTTATAGTTAATCTTTTTCTTAATTTTGAAAGGTTTTGGTGTATTTTTTAAATTAATTTCCATTTAAAAAAAACGGTATATTAGTGAGTTCTTTTATAAATTAAGAATATTATCCTATATATCCAAGAAATTGAGAAAATCGTTGCCTTATGCCACTTATAGAACCCAATCGGCCTCGCTTTATAGTGAGTCTTTTTCTTATGTTTAAAAGATTTTGGAGTACTTTCTTCGATTAATTTCCATAAAAAACATATTTGCAGTGATTTTATTATATAAATTAAGAATATTACCCTATATATCCTAGAAATAGAGAAAATCATTGCCTTATACCACACATTGAACACAATCGGCCTCGCTCTATAGTGAATCTTTTTCTTAATTTTGAAAGATTTTGGTGTATTTTTTAAATTAATTTCCATTTTAAAAAACCCCCGATATTTGAGTGATTTATTATATAAATTAAGAATATTATCCTATATATCCAAGAAATTGAGAAAATCGTTGCCTTATACCACTTATAGAACCCAATCGGCCTCGCTTTATAGTGAGTCTTTTTCTTATGTTTAAAAGATTTTGGAGTATTTTTTTTCAATTAATTTCCATGAAAAAAAGATATTTGAATGATTTTATTATATAAATTAAGAATAATATTCTATATATCCTAGAAATAGATAAAATCGCTGCCTTGTACCACACATTGAACCCAATCGTCCTCGCTTTATAGTGAGTCTTTTTCTTATTTTTGAAAGATTTT